ATTAGCAGAAGATGAAAGCAGTGGTTCCTTTGGGGGATGAAGTAGTAATATTGAGATTGGAGAGTAGGGACTGTTTAATGGAGAATGTATAAGCCATGGACCAGAAACTAGTATTTAATTAGATGTGGAAAGTAAAGGGAAAGAGAGAAAAGAATAGTGACTCATATCTTTGCAGATGAACAGGTGAGATGGTGACCCTAGCAATTAGAACTAGGGATGAAGTTCACATGTTCAGCTGGCTAAGGGTACCAGGAGGCATCTGGAGCTTGAGCAATAGAAAAGGCTCTGGGTTGGGGTATGGATTGGAGTTTTCTATAACTAACCAGCAGGGCAATCTGCTATTGTGCATGTGATCATCCACAAAGAATATTCACAAAAAGAAGAGATAGGAGCTGAGGAATCTGAGTAATACCACTATCTAAGGAGTGGGTAGAAGAGAAACCACAAATGATAGTGTAAGGAGTGAGAGGGAAAAGTTAAACCAGGAGAGACTGTAGTCACAAAATCTAAGAGAGGCTAAAATGTAAAAGAGAATATATTAAATTGTTTTAAATTGCAGGCATTTTAATAGTACTAGCAGTGGTCAATCGTGTTAACTATCTTGTACATTCAAGTAATGTGAGAATGATAAGTGGAAATTAGATTTTGTGGTTAAGCTATTAGTAGTGACCTTTACAAGAGCAGTTTCTGTGTAGTGGTGAGAAAAGTCAGCTCACAAGAAGTTAGGGAGAGAATGGAAGGGAAAGCAAAGTAACCTGGATAAGGATGGAAAGAAGAGAAGTTAACAAATAGAGGGGATGATGTAAGAATAAATTGGGGCTTTTTTTTTTTAATATGAGAGCAATGCGAACATCTTTACATGCTTAGGAGAAAGGACCAGCTCATATAGGAGAAAGGAAAAACTAATGGAGCAAGACATAAGGTGAGAGCAGTGCTGAGAGCATGACAGGTTAGTGTTGGATATAAAAAGGGATACATCTTTCTCTCAAAAACGGAAAAGGAAAGAAACAGGAAACACAGTTAAGTTTAGGTGTTTTAAATTAGCACATGTTAATCGTCCAGCTATTTGCAATTTTAACGGCAGCAAAATTAGACAAAACAGATTTTGGCTCCACGAGGACACTGGTTATTAGGGAGAACTTCCCCTTAATAGCATTTGTTAATGAATTGGGAGCGCTTCTCTAGGAGATCTTTAAGGACAGCAGAGATAGCCATCAATCAGGAGTGATTTAGGGGATGCCTAGTGATGAGACCCCTGTTGATACCTCCCAGCACTATTCATTCTGTCAGTAGACTATTGTCAGATAAAGTGCATTTTGGAAGTGGCAGTTCTTAGCTCAGTTGTAGGTAAACGGTACACAGTAAGTACTTAATAAATAGCTATTAACTTAAAGACATAACATCCTCTACACTTAAAAAAAAAGATATATCAATAGTTTCATAAATTATTATCCTTGGACCAGAAAATACTAGTACCACTGGGGTTTTAACTAAGAAAATTATTAATAGAAAGACATCTTAGCTGCACGATTTGCTTAATTTGTATTTATGAGATAAATTTTACACATTTTTGTAGTAATGCGCTTTTGTGATTTTAGTTCCTGTCTTTGAACACAAAAAAGTCCCTGTTTTTTTATTTAAACAATCAAAGAAAAGGCACTGCATTTCAAGACCTGTTTTTAGAAGTGCAATATCTAGGGCATCATTGGGTCCGTTTCTGATATTGCTTGAAGCCTCTGCGGAGTCGATCCAGAGATGGCTATCTCATTTGTTCACAATAGAGCTCACATGGTCTCTTAGGTGGGGTCCCTTAAGAGGTAGGAAACCTGACGAAAAATTGCCCAGTCTACAGTCAATAGGCAATTGTTTTCTCAACTGAGAATTATTCACTTGCCTTGACCCACCTTATGGGTTTCCTTGTCACTCTGCAGCTCTAAATGCAACAGGGTAAACTGCTGCAGAATGTGGCGGTCTGCCTGTTTTCTACTGAAATTAGACTATTCTTTTCATGTCATGAGAGCAAATCTGCATTTGAAGTAGGAGAATCAGATTCACGGCTTGGTTGTCTAACCTTCGATATTATGAAAATATAACTTGCAGTTTCTCTTCTATAATATTTCACATTTCTATAATATTTCGACAGACATATTCTCCTCAGATATTAGCATTTTATTTCAAATCAGTTGTTTGGAGAATGTTCTCCCTTTAAATAAAACAACTATTTTAAACTTTTAATTTATAAGATGACATACAATATAAAATTATGCTTTCTACAGGAGCTATGATATAATGGTCTTATTCTTTTCTCTCTCTCTCTCTCTTTTTAGGGTTAAGAGATAGATCCTTTAAGTATATATTGTGGAGCATTAATGCATCATTATGAAGGGAAACAACTTTCCTTCTTGCAAGTTTCAGAGAGAACAAGAAGAATATGCATGAGTAAAGTGTATTTCACCTAGACAGAACCATGTCTTGGTTAAGATGTCATTGTCCACTGAGTGCTGTTTATTGGTATAATTACAGTTTTCCGTTGGATTCTCTAAATTCAGAGGCTCTTTAACTTTGGAATTATGAAAGGCACACCAAGACATATTGAGAATATTGGGCCCACACTAAAATGAAAATGATTTACAGTTTTTAAAGCAGTCTACTCATATATAATTATCTACACCAGAAACTATCCATGTTCTAATGTTGGATCTTGTCTTACAGGTAGTTACCGTGCAAAAAGTTATTACCAAGTCATCACAGTCTTGGCTTATTTTTTTTTATAATTTCAAATAATATTTTCAGTCACTTGTTCTTATGGTGAAATATCAGGTAGCTACATCTTTAGGAAAGTTCTAGTTGCTTTCAGATATATCTGAAACCCCTCGTTCAAAAGAGGAAGGGTATCCTCTCACAAATTTTTTACAAAAAAACCAATCACACTTGTTCTGGCTTCTAAATCATATGCATATGATCAGCACTGAGTGGTATAGAATATTAGCACTCCAAGTCCTCATTGGAGAATATCATTTCAGACTAGTAATTATTTTTCCAGAATTTAGAAAAACCTTTTGACTCTAAATAACAGAAGTATTTACTTTGGCTCATAGGCTACGAATTGGTGTCCCATAGCCCAAATGAGCTTATGTATAAGTGTTTTATTCAGCTCATTGTGTCCAAAACTTATTTTTAAATTAAATAACAATATTTCAAAATCAAGAGATTTCACATAAAATTAGAATATTTGACTTTTTGTGGGAAACTGGCAACCTATGTTGTTACAAGTTTACAACCTACACAGGTTTAAGCAGTCCTCATAATACCTTCTTTACCCACTTACTACTTTTGTAGTCACTTGAGTTTGCTACCCCTGACTGCAAGAACCCGGTTCCATTCTAGGTTCACTTATTAATTGTGTCAGCTTGAGAAAAAAATTATATAACTCCACTACCCCTCAGTTCTCTCATGTATCCAATGCGAATCACAATACCTGCTTTACTGAGTCATTTCTGTTAAAGTAAGTTCTAGGTATTTCAGAGTTCGGACAATCCCTATGATTAATGTGGTAATACTGGGGAAACTGTACCTTCAAATTCCTTGGATAATGAATTTATGAGGTGATTCAGAATCTGTCCTATTTTTTGCAAGCTCCAAAATGTGCTTGGTCAGCATCCAGTGTCAGTTCACATTAATCAAGTCTATAATTCTGATGTTAAACATTCAAATGTATGCTATTTTGTGGCATAAACTTTAATTGTTGAGGTATTAGACGTTTGAGTCCTATGGCCAACACATTTCCCTTTGGAAAATTTACATGAATTGTCAAATTCCTACCAGGGGGCTGTTTATTCACAATTAGAAATATAACAGGCCAGGTTAGTATATACACTATTTAAGTCCTTGGGCTGGGTATTCTCTTCTTCAGATACTTGATAGGGAAAACACAGCTCAGTTAGAAGATGACTTGGTGAATATGAAATCAGAAAAAAAAACGGAATTAGTTATAAGATTTGAACAGTTGATGGAATTAAATGAAGCCACACTGTTACAACTGGACAGGAAAGCCTTTGGTCTAAGTCACCCACTTCCTTGGGCTATCCTTGGATGGATCATTATTATATTTGACACTGAACTCTGCTTATTTTATTTTTCATGCTTAACCTACACTCCTTCTGATTGATATTGGTATTTTGTTGGATGTGTGAATTCATGCAATCAGGATTCATTCAAGGCTTGCTCTTCTGAAAGAATCTTTGTCTTTCTAAGATAGGTTGTCTATTCCTGTCCAGGTTGATTATGTCTTGATCTTCCTGTTTAATTCTCAAAAGATACCTTGTTTGCAAATTCTTTGTAACATCCTAGTTACAATTCAGACTGGCCCTTTTCCTTTCAGCTCCTTGTAAGGATTTCCTCCCCAAATTCCACTAATTATCTTTTTAACATGTTTGTCTCTGTGTGTTGTTTGTATGTTTGTATTCTGTGTGTATGTCTGTGTGCCTTAGGAAGCATGTTTAGAGGAATCTGCTATACATGTTTCTTAATTTTTAAAGAAAATATTTTATCCTCTGTAGCTTCCGTTTTTTTCAATCTGCTATATGTGGTGGTTACTAGAGGAAAGGTGAGTTGGGGGGATGGGTGAAATAGGGGATGGGGATTAAAGAGCATGCTTATCAATATAGAAAAATAACTAAAAAAAGAAGATCTGAGATCCTTCCCATTTTAAGTTCCTGAGATCTCAGTATTAATATTAAAAAAGTCATGATATTGATTGAAATACAGCAGTTTGTAACATTTTTTACCTAAAAATGTCAAATAACTGCAAAAAAATCATACGCATTTGCTCTAAGTTATAAAATAAATAACTTGAATTTCTTCAGATTTTACTGGCAGATCTAAAACGACAAAAATATTTACTACAAAATTGTGGTTCTCAATTTTACTTCAATGACTAATACATTTATTAAAAAAAAAAAGTACAGCTTTTTTTTTCCTGTCCTTTTCCTGCATTCAAGATGTCTGAGCAAGGATGTGGTGGGTCCTCCGTTGCAAAATTCTGGATTTCCCTGGGTCTTTCGGTAGGACCTGTGATCGACTGTGCTGACAACACAGGAACCAAAACTCTGTTTATCATCTCTGTGAAGGGATCAAGGGACCACTGGGCAGACTTCATGCTGCAGGTGTGGGTGCCATGGTGAAGGCCACGGTGAAGAAACGCAAACCACAGCTCAGAAAGAAGGTACATCCAGCAGTGGTAAATCCACAATGAAAGGCATACTGGACAAAAGATGGTGTGTTTATTTTGAAGATAACACAGGGGTCATGGTAAACAATAAAGGTGAAATGAAAGATTCAGCTATCACAGGACCAGTTGCAAAGGAGTGTGCAGACTTGTGGCCCAGGATTGCATCCAATGCTGGCAGGATTGCATGATTCTTTGTTGTATTTGTTAAAATAAATAAATAAATAAATAAATAAATAAATAAATAAATAAATTGCTCTTCCTCCCCAAAATATAAAAATAATAAATTTTTAAAAAGGGACAATATTTATTGACTACATGAATACACTAACATGAAAATACCATGCTTCATTTTCTGATTTGTAGATTTTAGGTCATTATTTGTGAGGTTTTAACTTTATATTTTAAAGTGGTAGGAGAGCACTTTTATGTGTATTTTCCACAGTATAATTATTCATATTTAAAAGTTTAAAATTATGTTCAAATATATTTTAATTGCATTGTTTTTTATATTGTATGAAGTTATAAAACTAGCATAAAATATATAACAATTGCTCAGTCACTGTATGCATGCCACAATTATTTAAAAACTATAATATAGAATAATAGTAGATTATAAAAATTCAATTTGATCCTAATTTATTGAAAACAGTTGAGCTCTTAATTATTTACTTTGCTTTATAAAACTCAAAGTCTATTTATTATACATCAGGTATGCCTTGAAATCTAAGGAAAAAAAACAGGTCATATAAAAAGGAGAAACTTGCCTAAAGGCTAGGCAAAACCTTAGTGAAGAAAAAAAAGGGAAGGGAACTAAGTTTACTGTACATAAACATTTTTCAGCCCTATGTTTCCTGTGAACACAAGACAGTCAACATTTAAAAGAGAGGGCGCCTGGGTGGATCAGTTGGTTAATCGGCTGCCTTTGGCTCAGGTCATGATCCCAGGATCCTGGGATCAAGCCCCACGTCATTGGGCTCCCTGCTCGGCGGGGAGTCTGCTCCTCCCTCTCCCTCTGACCTTCCCCCTGCTTGTGTTCTCCTGTGCTCTCTCTCTCAAATGAATAAGTAAAAAGTCTTAAAAAAAAAAAAAGATTTAAAAGAGAAAGTAGCTAAATTGGCAGTGAAGTCAATAAATATTAATTGGTAATAAACTACTTAATTTAATTTTCAGAACACATGTAGTTTTAAGATAGTCATCAGTGAGAGGAAATACCTTTTTTGAGGGAATTACTCTTTTGCCCAAATTTTGTAGTAATTGAAGAAAAAGAATAGTCAGAGATAAAATGAAACCTTTACTGTTCCTATGTAGCTTATTGTGGAATTTTTAATTTCCAGTATTACTGTCTTCTGTCAGTTGGTATGCAAGAATAACCAGTAACTGAATAGCTGAATTCAGTTATTTATCCAGCAGAAAGAGAGTTAAATGTAAAGGACAGTGAATGAGGATATCAAAGAGATATCTGCACTCCCATGTTCATTGCAGCATTATTCACAATAGTCAACATATGGAAACAACCTCAGTGTCCATCAATGGATAAACAAATGGATAAAGAAAATGTGGTATATAAAATGGAATATTATTCAGCTACAAGAAAGAAGGAAGTCTGGCCATTGTGACACCATGCATGGAACCTGAGGGCATTATGCTTGGTGAAATAAGCCAGACAGAGACAGACAAATACTGTGTGGTGTACTTATATGTGGAATCTAAATAAAAAGTCAAAATCATGGAAACAGAGAGTAGAAAAGTAGATACCAGGGGATAGAGAGTTGGGGATTAAAAAAGGTTATAAGCTTTCAGCTGTAAGATGAATAAAGTCAGAGGATCTAATGTACAACATGGTAACTATAGTTGATAATATTGTGTTGCATAATGGAAATTTGCTAAGACAGTAGAATGTAAATGTTGTTACACACTCAAAAGATAAATATGTGAGGCAATAGATGTGTTTGTATGTCTTAACTAACTAGATGGGAGGAATTCTTTCCCAATGTATGCATGTATCAAATTATCACAATGTACAACTTAAATATCTTACAGTTTTGTCAATTATACCTCAATGAGGCTGGAGAAAGAATAGTGAAGGGGCTTGTGGACTAGGCGGAAAGAGGTTCATTAAGTGGAATGTGGGGTTAGCATGTGAAAGGAGAAACTGATGACTATGTTAAAAGACAAAGTACTGAGCTACCTAGAGTAGTCAAATTCATAGAGAAAGTAGGATGGGAGTTGCTAGGGACTGGAAGGAAAGAGGAATGGGGAGTTAGCATTTAATGAGTAAAGAGTTACAATTTAGGAAGATGGAGGAGTTCTGCAGATGGGTGGTGCTAATGGCTGTACAACGATGTGAATGTGCTTCATGCCACTAGATGGTATGCGGAAAGATGGTTCAAACAGCGCTGCTTGTGCTATGTACAGTTTATCACAATTTTTAAAAATATGATATAAAAATAAAATAAAAAAAGATAAATCCCACTGCTCAACAAAAAGAATGCATTCCTTCCTCTTACTTCCATTCAACCCAAGGGGGAGGGAGAACACAAAGCTGGGGCATAGGATCTAACACCCCTGTTTCCTTTCAGTTCTCCTATTTCCATCTGCACTGAATGGTCTGAGAGGTAGGACAATTTGATTCTGCTTGATAATCTCTTATATTCTGCAAAATCTTTCTGTTCTAATACTTAAAATAAGCCACTTGTGCTGAAAAGTCCAGAATTGCATGGTTTTTATGTGTTTGTTTTAATTCTTTCCTCCTGAAATAACTTCTCTAAATGCCATGATTAACTCCAATATAGTAACCAGTTTGGAGGAAAATTACTAGAGGAATTAAAGCACCTCTGAACTAGAGGAAAACAGACTATAATAATCTCATCATGTCAATGGCTTTCTCTAGACTATATATGGCTTTCTCTTTACCCACAAGTAAAGTCCTCTTTTAATGTGATTTTCAAGACTTTCAATTTTTCTAAACTGCTCTCTAATATATAGGATAAATATACAATAAAACCTCGTGTCTAAAACTGAGTTATCCTCACAATACTACACAGTACCTTTATCCCTTCCTCCCTACCTCTGCCTGTGCCATTTCCACAACCTGAAATCTCACCTTTGATCTTATCTTTCTAAATTACATGCAGATTTTAATTTCCACTTTAGCCTTCTTTAACCTTGCCAGCTCATGGTTTACACTAAATCTTCCTTAATAACACATCTGAAAAGTGTTCTTTCATCCAGTAATTTGCCATGCCCTTCCCAGGGACACCTTTGAGGAATTATGTGGTGTTTGGAAAGTATAGAATTCTGTCATTATGATGTTTGCCTGATGATGATGTATTATAATACACTCACAAAGGATTTTAGACTCTGAGAATTTGAGTGACTTGCTTAAGATCACTAAAATGGTAGGTAGCAATATTAAGAATAGACCCACAAGTTAACCTGACTCATGAGTTTGAAGCTTTTTCTTATATAGCATTCTGTATTGTTTTTCAGTCCTTCAAATTTTTGGTAACTTTTGAAGACCAGATGCTAGGAAACTTTCCAAAGCCACTCAGTCTTTCTCATTCCCCGCCCCCCCGCCCTGCACCCCCACCCCTGGCTCTCTCTCATGTGCTCTCACTCTTTCACACTTTTGCTCTCCTTCTCTTTTTTTTTTAAGATTTTTATTTATTTATTTGAGAGAGAGGGAATGAGAGAGAGCACATGAGAGGGGGGAGCGGGAGAGGGAGGAGCAGACTCCCCGCTGAGCAGGGAGCCCAATGCGAGACTCGATCCCGGGACTCCAGGATCATGACCTGAACCGAAGGCAGTCGCTTAACCGACTGAGCCACCCAGGCGCCCTGCTCTCCTTCTTTATTTCTGGATTGATTTCTGTTGCTCTTGCATCTGTAGCTGCCTTTCTCACTACTGTATGCAGATAATAAGCCAGGATAGTAAGTTATATTAATGTAAATCAAATGCCTATGTCATCAGAATTTCATAGAGTCTGATATGAAACAAGATGAACAAATTTGTTTCCAAGCTATTTGTTCTCAATCCTAGGTCAGAAAGTCAACTCAATACATTATGCTTGCTTTTTCAGGTCCAAAGAAGTTTTGGGCTACCAAATGGAGATCCCAAATGTTTATCATAAAATTTATCATTTTAACTCTTCTAATTCTGTCTTACCAATGGAAAACTTGTATTAGTTTGTAACATAAAGACACATAACAGTTAGTGTTTTGTGAACATGGGCACGCCAGAGTTTAAGGATTATGATCTTTATCTGCGTACCCCAGAAAGTGCGTGATAGTCGTCATGTTTGTTAGAGCCAGCCCAGTTCAAGGTCTAGTATTTTAATTCCCAGCATTCTTAGGAGCAGCTATCCTAGTGTCATGAATAAAGTGGGAGCTGAATTACTGATAGTTGATGAAATATTGTATGGCCCACATGTCAGAGATAGCTCTGCTCAGTAAATGACACAGCAAGTGATAGAATTCAATTAAGATATTTTCTCATTGATATATTTAGTACAATGAGATTACAATTTCTTATTCATACTGCAGCAATGATGTAAGTATGACTTATGTCACTACAGTTTCTTGCCCAATATCCTTTTTGTCCTCTAGCTTTACTAATATAATCTTAATTTAGTTAGGGCTAAAAAAAAATAAAATAAAATAAAAAAAGAAGTGTTGTTTTCCTGGCTCATTTTCCTCTAAGGGTTGCCATGTGACAATGTTTAGCCAATGAAATGTAATCAGAAATTGAATTGGGGTGGAGGGAGTCATGAAAGTTTTTTTGTTTTTTCTTGAAATAAAGGGATAAACTTAGCTGACATGAACCTCATGACCTCTACCTTTTTCTTTTGCAGTTTTGACTCTGATGTGGGGCAGCAGCCTGTGAATGGGAGGAAGAAAGGAGCTTGGTTAATTCCTTTTTGCAACATGGACCAATCCTAAATGGCTTACTTCCAGACTTCTGTGTTATGTGATAAAAAAAAAAAATGTTTAAGCTGGATAATTGAGTTCTTTCATCGGCAGCCAAACACAATCCCAATTACTATACTCTTTTCAAATAGAATCTAGTATATAGTAAGAGAAGCAAGGTACAAGTATCCTTATAACCACAAAGACCTGATTTTAGGGGAACTAGTGATCGTAACTTGTGTGATGAAGTCTCCTACAGCTGTTGCACACTGTAGAGCACCAAACTCCGACAAGGTCAAGGTCAAACCCAATAG